TTTTTTTTTTTTTTTTTTTTTTTTTAATTTGGACCATTTCTCGATTTATGCGTGTCATCCTTGCGCAGGGGCCATGCTAATCTTTATTCTCTGTATCGTTCCAATTTTAACGGATGTCCCAAAGGACACCGTAGGGTCGGTACTTACCTGCCGCCATGACATTGAGGGTTGCACCAGGGAAAACACTCAAGTAGCGGGAGTAGGCCCGCAACACTTGAGAGCAGCGGGAAAAACATTCAAGTAGCAGGTAGTAGCGATAGATGTGTCGGGGAGTGGAGGCCGAGAAGACAAAAAATTGGCATTTTTAGAGGCCCAGTAGTTGTAGGCTAGGTCTAGGCGGGTACCAGGCAAAGTAGTCTGAGTCTAGGGCCTGTACAGGCGAGATCAGAGTCTGAAATGATGTTTCCCTCCGAAAGGGAGGGGTTACCGGTTGCTTGGAGGCCGCGCGGCCTGGATGTCACCGTCCAAGAGGCAAGCTGGCTACTATATCTCGAGGAGGAGCAAAAGTGACTCTCCTCATTTGCTGCGTGCAAGTTTGGACATTACACTGCTGGAGCACTGGAGGAGCAGCGCTAGTGTGCAGCGCTGTGGGAAGAAGGGCGCCCAGCTCTCCACCCTGGCTATGGTGAAGGAGCTCGGGTAGGAGGAGGAGGAAGAAGGGATTCGGAGAGGGGAGCGCCAGGGTTACTTACCTGGCTATGGTGGACATCATCCTCATCACCTTCGTGGGTGCTGCATCTGGAAGGCCCCCGCGTTGGGGGAGAGCTGCACCAAGAAGCTTCGGGGCAGAGTCAGGCATGACGGTCTGAGTGGAAGAGGCCATAGCTGCCTTGTGTTGTCTTTTGCACAGCAGGGCAGGGCCCTTAGCAGTCCGCCATAGCCTCGGCCTACATGTAGAGGAAGGAGAAGGGTGGCCATGGCTATGAGGGACCTCAAGTTGTGCTCGGAGTAGAAGAGGTATTCGGACATTGATTCTGGTTCTGCCATTCATCATTATTATTATTATTTATTGTTTGAATAAGAGGGGAGGAGAAAAGGAGCAGGGCTGCAGGAGAGTTTTGTTGGCCAGGCGAAGTGGGATTATCATTGGTCTTTGCTGGTGTGCATCTTCTTCTTCTTCTTCTTTCCCTCCCTCTCCTCTCAAGCTCATTCATTTCTTTTTGCATTGTCCTTTCTCGTGATTTTTCACTTTGAAATTGGCCAGGCCCGGTTGTCCTCCGAACCTGCAACAGGTTCAGGTCCCGACCCTGGTACAACATGAATTTCAAACCTTTGTTTTCTTTTTTTTTTTCTTTTTTTTTCCAGTCTTTTACTCTTTTGAGAAAATCTCTGATTTTTGCCAGCACCCTATGAAACCTTAAATCCCGACCCTCGTACGACATGAAACCTTTTTTTTTTTTTTTTTTTTTTTTTTTAAATCTTTTGAGAAAATCTCTGATTTTTGCCAGCCACCCTATGAAACCTTAAACAAGAAAAAGAGAGATCCTACTTCATCTCGGCAAAACTCGCACATCATGCCAGGCATTTATCTCGAAGCGGACATAATGTGCACAACGAGGAACCAGGGTGATTAACATCACCCCAGCATTAGAAATAAACATTACAAATCGACCCCGCATTGCCATTCTGCCTTCTCCACGCAGAAAAGAGAGAGGGACAGGAAGCCTCAGCAAAGAAACTTGTAAAAAGTCCAGTGCGTGCATGAACACACACACACACACACACACACAATCAGTTTTTTGTCTGTTAGTTTTATTGCTGTTGTTTGTCCTTCCTCTAATTTTTTCTGAGTATTTTTCTGTGTGCCCAACTGAGCACCCTTAAGTAGTGCCAAACAGTCGGTGGTTCCTCGTTTGGAGTGCCAACTGCACTCGTAGGGGGGCCGCTCGGTTCGGGATGTGTGTTGCCTATGGTGATGACGGATGCTCGTCGGAGTGTCTCCCTGACTCAGTGGGTGGTGGGAACCAACAGTCTGCGGGGTTCACCCGTGATGTGAGTAGTTGATGTGCTGCTTTGCTCCGCGTTGGATGTGTGGACGGCCCTGTCTGCGCTCCACCACTCCCTTGCTGCCCGTTCCGCTTGCCTTGCAGGTCGTTCTTGGCATGCTGCTGTTTCCGCTGTGTGGTGTGGCTGGGTTGTGGTGTTGCCTTGGGCTTCGCTGCTTCGCTGCCTTACCGCCCGTCCGCTGGTCGTGCCTTCCGGATTCTTTGCTTGCGCGCCCTGTAGTTTGGTTGCCGTGTTGGGGTTGCCTTGTGCTCTTCAGCCTGGTCGCTCTACTGCTTGTCCGCTTGCCCTCTCGTCTCTTGCAGTGTGGTTGCCTTGGTGGTGTTGCCTGGTGCTTCACTGCTTGGGTGCCCTGCTGCGAGTTCGGCGTGCCGTGTCGTTCCTTGCAGTCGTCTTTGGCGTTGTGCAGCCGTGTTGCCTCTACTGCGCTGCCTGGTGCTCCACAGGGTTGCTGCCCGCTGCTATGTTCCGCTTGGGGACAGTCTGCCGTCAACAAGGGTCAAAGGGTTCATGACCCGAACCATCATATACGGGGATTCCGCAGATTGTCAGAGTTCAGCCTCCTGATGAGTCGGTGCAATTCCGACGAAACAATCTTGTTATCATCAGTTTATTTTTTTTCGGTCCTTCAACTTTCTTGGGACTTGTATTTTTTTCGGTTTGCCTGTTTCCATCGGTGCTACTTGTTTCTCAGCTCACTGTCTTTCCCTTGTCCTATCGTGTTCTTGTGCCCACCCGCCTCCCCCGTGCCCCCCCAGCCTGTGTTTTGTTGTTGCTTGTCGTTTATGTACGTTGTATGTCTCCCCAGTATGCGTTATCTCCTGTTTGTTATGCCATGCCCCTTCCCTATGTGTTAGTCTGTTTCACTTCAATAGTAGGGCGTTGGGCTTCTTGCTGTTTGCTTGTTTTGGTCATGCCATACGAAGTGGACGATTTATTTCTTGGTGTGTTGCTTGATGTGCTATTTCCGCGCAGTTCGCCACGCCTGTTCACGTGGGGGTTTCGTCTCATATCACACACACACACACACACACACACACACGCACACACACACATAAACACACACACACACACACACACACACATACACACACACTCACACACAATCAGTTCCATGGATGTCTTTCTATTTTTGTAGGTATTTCTTCCTGTTTTTTTCTGTCTGTCCCCGTCATATTGTTTCCAAGTACTTTTTGTGTGTCCAGCTGAGCACCTCTAACTAGTGCCGAATAGTCGGTCATTCCTCGTTTGGAGTGCCTGCAGCACTCTTAGGGGGACAGCTCAGTTCGGGATGTCCGTGTTTCCTGCAGGTGATGATGGATATTCGTCTTAGTGACTCCCTGTTTCCACACGGACAGATGACCGTGTGTGCGGACTACCTTGTCGGCGCTGCCTGGCTGCCTCGCTGTGCATCCATACCTTGGGTTGCTTTGTTGCTTGCCCACTAGCTGTGGACTACCTTGCCCCCCCTGCTTCTCAGCCTTTCTGCATGCCTCCAGCCTGATGCGTACTACCTTTCTACCTGCTGCTCGGTCTTGTTACTTGTGTACCCACTTGCTGTGTCCTACCTTGCTACCCTGCTGCCCCCTGGCCACGTGCTCGGTTTCCGCGGTGCCTGCCCTGTTGCCTGTCCACCAGCTTGCTTGACTGTCCGCCTGGCTTTTACTTGTGTTGTTGCTTTTATTCCTGTGTGTTTTGCCCGCTTTCACCCCTGCCACCTTCTGCGTTATTGCGACCTTGCTGTGGCTTGTCTTGCTGCCCGCGCTGTGGACTGTTGACGGCTCAGCCTCCAGATGTCATTGAGTTGGTGACAGTCCAATCAAACAGTCTGTTGTTTCCCCATTGTGTCCCTGATTATTTTTTGGTACTCTGTCTCATCTGTGTGATGTTTAATCATTGTTGAGTAATAAGAATGTATGTTGAGGAAACTTGGGTCTCATGCTCAGTATCACACTGGGGAACGAATCCATGGAAGTTCTCGAACCGCTACCCTGAGAGAAAGCATGTCTCAGTGTGAAGCTTAGTCACTGAGAGTTTGGTATCACAGACATGACACACACACACATACAAGAGAGAGAGAGAGAGAGAGAGAGAGAGAGAGAGAGAGAGAGAGAGAGAGAGAGAGAGAGATGTCAGGGGAGGTAGGCAAGGGATTGTTGTTGAGAGCACCTTCGGCTGTGTGAGCTCTTCAGAATCACCGAGTGCGACGACACAAAGCATCAGAAAGGCTTCTTGCCGATCAACAGCAGTGAATCCATACTGCGCTGCCTTACATGCCGCGTCGCAAAAGTAAATTCCCTTTCCAAACTGCAAGAACAGCAGCATTGAACCCATTTGCGTCATCTATAGTTTTAGGCCGTGATACTTGAAAGACAGACCATGGCACCCCTGATGACCTCCTCCTCAGAAGCCCCCAGGAAGTTCCCCCCCCAATCCCCTTAACCCACTTAAACCCCCCATAAGCCCCCATAATGTCTTCGGCAAGGGGTCAACCAACCATCTCCCATGAATTTCAGAAAGCCCCAGGACAATTTGAACCCCTACCATACCTGCAGAAATCTCATGCCAAGACAAATCTGCTCACATTCATAAAAATGACAACAGGCGAATCAAAATCAAATTTAATTTATTTAAATCATTCGATTTAGAAAAAGAAAAATATAAAACTAAGAGCCAAAATGTCTTAAAAAAACAAAAATAAAAAAAATCCGGGAGCCCTTGGGCAGCAGATTTCATCTCCAGACTCCAGAGTGCTTTGTGCAATTTTCGAGTATTGCACTCATCCTAAGCAACACCACTACCATCTTCCCCCAAAGTTCCCAAACACAACACACCCTCATTATTATGAATGTATAGAAGCTATGTTCTCAGCCTGATACGGTGATGACGAGGATGCCTTGTCTTCGACAGAAGACGGTCGGCTGACTCTTCAGACTTCAACACCCCTCCCATTCAACATATGGGCTACATGCAGCGCACACGGAGGAAACCTTTTTTTTTTTTTTTAATTAAACTGATCAGAACAGATACTACACTTGATCTTAGCCAAAAGGCCGAGAAAGGTATGGAGGAAACCTTTCTGTGTCGCCCTGTTCCTTATTCCCCAAGACCCCCCCCCAAAAAAAAGGCGGGGGGAATAATATGGAGAGAATATTCATATGATATGGATGTGGAGATCGATGGTGATGACTTGAAAACATTACCTGTATGTCAAATAAACATACGGTGAGAACAACAATGACTCGAACGAAATACAGTCCATGCAGCAGATACGCTTCAACAATTGTTACAATTCACAACTATAATAATAATGATACTAATACTAATAATAATAATAATAATAATAATAACAATAATAATTATTTGGGGACCATTTTCTCGATTTATGTTTGTCATCCTTGCACAGGGGCCATGCTCATCTTCTCTGCATTGTTCCAATTCCAACGTATGTCCCGAAGGACGAACCATTCACAATTTTATACAGCATAAAAAAATAAATATATATTTGTTTAATTATTTGTTCAATTCTTTTGTGATCCGAAGGACCAAGAAACTGATCAAAATATATACTACAAACTCATCTTTGCCAAAGGGCGACCACGGATCAGATATTAAACTGATCAGAACAGATACATTGCACTTGATCTATTTTTTTAGCCAAAAGGCCGAGAAAGGAAACCACTGTGCAGCATTATTTACTGCGCACTTGTACTGACAGATGGTGACCACACTTGGGCGTCCATCTTGCATAAGCAATCGACAAACACACACACACACACACACACACACACACACACACACACACACACACACACACACACACACACACACACACACATAGCCAGACCTTCGGAGCGCCGGCCATAGCTGGGACCTGCGCTGTACTCTGGCAGCACGCAGGGCTGACAGAGGTCTGGGCTATCGAGGTCTGCTGGAGGCGAGAGAAGTCGGTGCCCTGCTGGACCCTCCTCCGGAGTGGGGTTCCAGGGTGGTGGCGCTGCAGCCATAGCTGCAGCTTCTTCCTCAGAGGTCATTTTGTCAGGGTTTGGTGGCGCTGCTGCAGACTTCCACCCGGGAAGTCTTCCGACACTTCCTCATCATCAGATACTGTGGCGCTGGTCTTCTTCTTCATCCTCTGAGTGGCGCTTGGCCTCAGAGGCCTGTTTCAGGGTGGCGCTTTCGTCAGGAGGCTGTATTTGGGTGGCGCTTGATGTTTCAGGGGCTCAGGGGTGTTACGGGTGCTAATCAGGGTTGGGGCGTGAAGCGCTGCTCATTTCTGAGCAGCGCACTGTAGTACTGAAGTTATCCTGTCAATTTGAGACTGAGAGTTTAATAAACAGTGTGTAACTGGGTTTGAACTGTCATCGTTTCATTGTTTCCTGGATGTGATCTACTCGACTTTTCTTTACGAGGATTGAGTGGAGTGAATTGCACTTTCAGTGTACCCTGTCATATCGCATGGTCAAGTCTTCCGCTGTGTTTATCTCTCCCTGTGCGGTGTGATACTCCTATCCTCTCCCCTTCCTTCTGTGTATGTATGGGCATACCTGTAAGTCTATGTGTGTGACTGTTGGTCTCAGACAACAAACAACCAGAATCATAACAACTCAGTTCCGGCAAAGTGGTAGGTCCTTATCGATCAGTCAAATGCATCCTGGGCAGAAGGTTGGGGCTCCAACTCCTGATAAGTCGGTGAAAGTCCGATAAAACAGTCTGTCACAGTCGACCTTTCTTTTGTGGAGGTGTATCGAGTGCACACAAGCCAACAGTCGCATGCATAAAAAAATACAGATAGTTCATTTATACTAGTTATCTAGGGTTCTTGGCTAGTTGCTGTACTGTTGTTTAGCCTTCCCCCGCGTTTTTTTTTTGCAAGTCTCGAAATCTAGTACCTTAAGGCTGTGCTGAATAGTCGGTGCCTGTTTATATGGAGTGCGTGCAACGTTATTAGGGAGGCTGTGTTCTTTGGGATGCCTGTGTCGCTGTGTTCTCCGGTCGTGTCAGGCATTCGTCTGGCGGCTTCTTGGCTCCTGATGGTGGTGTGAATCTACGGTCGGATGAGTTTCTCATATGATGTGAGGACGCGATAAGTCCGCTTTGTTCCTCGCTGCATCCATTGGTTCCGGGGCTGCTATGTGTGCCTTGCTGTGTTGATGCCTTTTTGCGTGTGTCAAGTGCCTTTCTGTGTTTTCGAGTGCGCACCCTCCCACCCACCTGCACATCCCCTTCCTTGCTGCCTGCTCGCTATGCTGTGCTATTATGCTATATAAGTTGCCTTGTCCATGGCACCATGCCGTGCTGCCCGCTTTCTTCTTATGTTTGCACAACTTTGCCCATGTCCAACAGGGTTCAGAGTTGGTTATGAGTCTTATGACTGAAAGCATTGTCATGGGATCTAGCAGACTGTCAAGGGTTCAGACTCCTGAGGAGTCGGTGAAAGTCTGTCACGACTTCTGTGTTCATTATTTGCTGTATCATTGTGTGTGGTCTGGCTCACCCACAAATTGAGCGAAGAGCAGACATGCTGCTCATGGTTGAACACAGTCATTTGTTGCCTTCCCTTACCGAATGCGTCTGTTCAATGCCTACAAGTCTTTGTTCCTAAGGGGCACTGATGTAATACTCTGGTGATCGGGTGGTACCGGGTCTAAAACCATCATGCGCCTCATCTGCACACACTTCACTCTCTCTCTCTCTCTCTCTCTCTCTCTCTCTCTCTCTCTCTCTCGCTCTCTCTCTC